GAAAGACCTCTGGCCGTAACAGTTTTTAAAAGTTGGTAATATCAGTTGTCCTTTTGTAACAGATCTAGTTGAATGACCACTTCCAGAATTTGATTTGGGCAGCAATWCACAGAGAGTTCCATAATTGGCACCTTGGAAGATCTGAAAATATAAATTAATACCACTATACAAAACATAATTCTGAAAAGTCAAGGCATCAGACAATGAAAGAGACAAAGTTAAACACGCCGACGAAAAGTTTGAACAYGGATCAAAACTCAGCTCATGGTTTCATTAAGATGAAGATTTTAAACACGTTTAGACTGAAGAGTCAAACTCTCAGGACACGTTTCATCAACTCTACAAGCAAAAAGATCTGAAATTTTTTCTAACAACTGGGACTGCACTCTTTAATTTAGTAATTTAATTAAAAAAAAGACAATTACCCAATGTAAAGTGTTCAACATGCTYATTGCTTTTAAAACTTTAGCAGAAACTTTATGCTCCAAGTACTCTGTATCAGTACAAACCTAAACTGAGAAAAACTGGAATAGGGACACCCCTATCCAAAATAAAGTCCAACTATTTATTAAAATAATTAAACTTTTAAAAAATGAAATTATAACTCCTCACCAACGTAATAACAGAAGTTCCTCTTGAGACGGTCAAAAACGAACCAGCGTTTCTTCCACGATTTGATCTTCCCGCCCATCTTCACCAGGTGGCCTTTGCACATTTTCTCAGTGAGGATGACRAAGGGGCAGGTGTCGATGCTGTGGCCACACGACTCCACGTGAGCGCGCAGGTCAAACTCCTCCTTACGGTTCGGCAGGTAGCGCGTCATTGGACGGGCCTGTGGTGGAGAGAAGGAAAAAAAACATTTAGATTATCTGCTTTATTAAACTGTGAGGTGGARAAAGAAAACAGTTCTTTGATCAGTATTTAAAGAAATGTACTTTTTATGTGTGATCTGCAAACAAGTATTTATGATTAACACAGTACATTTATGTGATTCTGTTTGACTTTATGTGTTGGACTGTTCAGACTTGTGTGACTTTCTTAATTTCAGCAGTTTAGTATCCGGCTCCACTGACTCTCAGTAAATGAGTATGAATACAGATGGATAAAATAAAACAGGATCCATTCAGCCAAGTCAAATCAAGGGATTTGTGAGTTTTTTTTCTGAATCAAGTGGTAATAAATTGTTAATTTACAACCAGTCTGACTCAATAAACACAAACTGTTCTCTCATTCTGCTGAGTGCATGTTACTTTTCTGGTAACATGAAACTCTACATCATTATTTAAACAATCAAAATCAAGTTTAGATCCAATCAGCTACACTTTGTATTTTTTGAAATGTCAAGTGAGATTTCCAGACATCAATTTAAATGCAAACAAATTGCTAATTGAGTATTTTCACCACAGTCATTGAGAGAAAAGCCCCCAAAAATCCAATAATAATAATATACAAATAAAAGTAGTTTCATCATTATTGGGTATATTGTTGTTTTGAGCAAAGCTGCAAAGCAGGAATATCTGAGGTCACAAGTTTCTGCGGCTGCTACTTTGCGAGCCGGAAGCTAAAAAGTTTAAAAATCACCGACCTAAACCATGTTTATTTGGTCCTGGTCCTCAACATTTTCACTTTAAAAATATATCAATGTATAGCATTTTTAAGAAAAAAACAGTTTCAGTTAACTTTTAACTTATTTTTCAACTATTTTCTTTAATTGTTTAAGGTTTATTTTCACCAGCTGGCGTTTGTGCCRGCCTAAATTAGAGTAAAATGTTGTTTGTTATCATGTCATCACATGTTCTATCAGATCTATCTACCTGGCTGAATATTTCATTTACAAAGCAGGAAACAGAAACAGGTAAGCTACATGTTTATGAGCCAAATAGTTTCACAGATTAGAATTTTTATTATAAATGTGTGGATTAAACTAATCCTGTAATCGAATCAACGGGCTCTCTGGGGGAAAAAAAGAATTTTAACTGAAGACTTGTGTGCTTATTATTTTGGGGTTTTGCTCCTTTCAAAAATATAAAAACTTTCAAGTTTTAATTTGACTTCCCTTAAAGCAGCAAATCTAGAAAGAGTGATATTTGTTCATAACAGCAGACACTTATAAACACGTTCAGCCAGATTTCAAGCTTATTAAAATCAACATGAATATCTGTTTTTTTAGCTGCTGCTCTTCTGGTTTCTTTTTGTTTCCACCTCACTCTCCCTCCCCTCCTTTCTCCTCCTTTTCTTTGACAATCTTTGATCTTCTTTTTACACCCAGCCTCTCTCTTTAGTGTCTCGCCTCTCATCCCCCACACCCCCACCCCCTGCTGTTCCACTGACCTGAGAGAAGTGCTTCTCTCTCATCTTCACCTCCTCCTCCACCAGCCTCCGCCTGTGGGCCGCCTCGTCCTGGAGCCTCCTCTCGGCCTCCTCTCGCCTCCGCCGCTCCTCCTCCAACATCTGCCGCCGAGTCTGCACCTCCCTCTCCTGGGAGCGTCGGGGACAGGAGAGCGAAGAACAGATGCAGAGAAGAAATAATATTGGGAGGGGAGACGAAGAAATATGTTAACGGGAGGCAAATATTGCGAAACAAAGCAGGTGACTGTCAGAGGAGACACAGGAGAATTGGAGTCCCAATCCAGGGTTTTGTAAAATCTATCCCTGAAGCTTTGCTGATGTAAAATGATCCTTTGCAGCTTTCAGACACTTACTCACAGGTCTGCTTTATTTCAACATACAGAAGGAAAAAATACAAAGATAAACAAAATGTTTTACGGCTTCATTTCACCATATCTGAAGCTCACTGTTCACTTTGACGTCTCGAAAACTTCAACTCAACTCTGTCTGCGCTGAGTGGAAATGAAAGTGTTTAAGTTTTTACTGTTGTCACATGGAGAAATCAGTAATTTTATTTAAACTTCAATCAAACATATTAATAAATAGTTTTAGATGGATATGTTTGTTGTGACATTTTTAAACCATGAAACACCAGAGTTTGTGACACAAACATGAATATCACATTTAATTTACCGTATCTTTATGTTCATTATTACATTTTTTAATAATTAATTTGCACAGTTTATTAAACTATAGGTGTTTGTGGATAGATAGAACTAAATTCCTGTGAAAAGCTTCAGGATGAATTCATCTCAACATTTCAGAATTTTCTAATCATCCCAACTTCAAAACATGGCAGATGCATAAACTACAAAAATATCTTTCACTGTATAAAAACTGAAGCTCAAAAGGATTTTTATTAAAAAAAATAAATAAAAATGCATGTTAAAAAAACTTAATGATTTCAAGAGAGCAGCTTACACTAAAACCTACATTTTTCCATAAAAAACAAATAAATGTTTAGTGATTTTACAAACATTATGAACAAAACAGAAATAAAATTTGATCATAATGCTAAATTTTCTGACCAAATGTGAGAACATAATAAACAGATGAAAGATAAATCTGCATAAGCTCATCTAAAATAAATAACTTACTAACTTGTTTATTACTTGATTCTTTTGGACACAAAGTTTGACTTCAGCAGGTCTCCCACTGTTGGAGATATTTAAATCTCTGCAACACATTTTTAGTCATTTTGTGCTTTTTTATTCTCACAATTTATTTCTTTATTTATTTGTTTGTTTGTTTATTTATTTGTTACTTTATAGTTTTCCAGCATATGTTGGGAGTAAGCAGTGTGTTTAAACTCTTACTGCCGGTTTAATCATGTCTAGGAGCTCCTTTAGTGTTTATTAATAAAGAAAAACAAGCAAACTCTATTAACCATAAAAGTTTAGTTCAATATCTAACATGGTACAAAAATGATCAAATATATACTGTATATATACATGTACATATATATTATTTTTGATGAAAAATGATCAACAGTTGTGTGTCAGAAGTCCGCTCTGTAGATGTTGACGCTTGAAGGAGATCTGATCCCTGTAAAAACTGAAGCTTTCTGGTAAACCTGTGAACTCACTCTGTTCTCCATCAGCCTGGCTTTCTCCTGCTGCGCCTCCTTCAGCATCTTCTCCATCTCCTCTATCCTCTGGGCCTCCAACCCRCAGGCGCTGCAACACACAAAGGGGAAGTTGCGTGGATTACACGGCTGTGACGAGGCTCGGGATGAGGGAAAAAAAGGTAAACAAACATGCCTGGAAAACAAACACAGGGAGAGCAGCGGGAGAGCGACACGGCTCCCCCCCATTAACAACCGAACTTCAAAACTGGAGTCGGGTTGGCATGGCAACAGCCAGTGTAGTCACGTGTATTTAAGCATGTTGTCACGGGAACAAAGCGCGGTGACCTTTCGTCTGAGTGAGGGGGCAGATTTGGGTGTTCCCATAGAAACAGAGCCGGCTGCTCCTCTTCCTCAGCCTCTCACCTTTCTGGGGTGCAGACGGAGATGCCGGTGGAGACGCTGGTCTCCAAGCTGTCTGAGCTCTCCAGGCTCAGGGTGTCGTACGCCTGGGTACCACCCGGTGGCGACTGATGATGCAGGATTGAGTGATGAACTGCTGGAGACGGATCTGTGCAAACAGAGAGCGCAGACTTACACCACCCTCTGCTGATGGAGGCAGGCCTCTGCCAGCAGAGTCAGATCAGCTGCAGCAGTAAAACCAGACAGGCCAAGACAACAACCTCCTTTCCTTTATTTATGTTTTACCAAATGAATTACCTTTATATGGCCCAGACAGACTTAAAATTGCCTGAAATTTGGCGTAAATTTTGTGGAAAAACAGCTCCTCTCACCAGTTTTACTGATGTGTAAAGTAACAAATTACAAATACTGTTTTTTTTACTTTAATGAAGTAGAAATTTTGGTTATCTATAATTTACCTGAGTAATTATTTTTCAGCCCACTTTTTAATTTGTCTCCTTACATTTAAAAATGAGATAGACTGACTTAGTCTAGTATGAAGATGATGGCAGAGATCTGTTTGCAGCTGAAACAGGTAGAMTAGAGCATCACAATATTTTAATATAACATTCTTGTTGTTATGAACAAAATGCAGCAAAGGACCCAAGATCTTGTTCTTGAGCTCAGATTTCCAGTGAAACATGCAGTGCTTATAAAGTACCATAAACTGATACTTGAGTAAAAGTACAAGTATCTTGCCAAAAAATTACTTTGGTAAAAG